GGAAGTGGATTTGATCCCTTGTTTATTTTTAAAAAAATAGTAATAATTTGAAATGTGCTTGGATGACAGAGGGCCTCTCACAGACCTTAAGCAGCATCTGATTTGCTGCTTTCCAGCTTCAGTTTTGGATACTGGCATCTTCCTGCCTATGGCATCCATCTGACGTGCAGCAGTCAGCACCACTGGCATTCCCAGGCATGTAAGCCCTTGAAAAATGAGAACAACCTAAATTGCTTATGTTTTGAGTAGATCAATAACATAAATATTGAACAGCTGAGAAATATGCATTTCTGAATGAAGTAAGAAAAATGGTCTTCAGTTTGTCAGCAATTTGATTTTCTTGAGGAGAGCTACAGGACCTTTGCGTGCAGCTCTTGGGGCTTTCTAGTCGCTACCTCTATTGCATACAAAGCTGTTGCATTGCAGGTAAGCTGTTGTTTGGCTGTCCTTGGCTTGATATTCCTTCTAGGAAGTGGTTCTCAGTCAGGAAAAAAAAGCTTTGGAGGGCTGCGAGGTACTTGGAGCTGTAGGGTAGTTAATGCTGCTGGTGAAGGACGTGATGTGGAAGATGAATGTGGCTTGGAACTGCTGGTACCTGGAGAGTTGGATTGGTCTGTGCATCACCGCCACTACGCACAGGTACTCAGAGAAACATTAGGGGGGAAAAGAATCTGCTGCCCTACGATGCTCTTTGCTAACCTTGATCTAAAGTTGCTCCTCAGTCTATTTTTAAGAGCTTTTCAATCGGTGATGTGAATTTAGAGCTTTCTGGTAACAGCTGTCTTGTGAACTTTAGCAGCAAATCTCCCTAAGTGTAAGGAAAAGCATTTTTGGCAAAAAAACAGACTTTGCTCTCTTTTATTGTTGTTTAAACCACCAAAAATCCAAGAGCAATTACATCTTATAAAATTATGGAAGCTGCTGCCGGGTCCATTAGCAATTCCCAGCTCTCTTTGTGGAAGTATTTCCTGCACTGGTATAACCACATCATCACTTTGTTCATCTCACCCCCTCCTCAGTGCCCAAGCTGAGATGGAGATGCTCATCTCCTCGCCATGTTCCAGCCATCCTATTGCCTTGCTAATTTATGAGCCGACCAGTGAGTGATGGCAGCCTCTGATGACACAGGCTGTATTTCCTGGGTGGTTGGGACATCTCTGGAAAGTTTTGCTGGACTTGTCAGTGCTTGCAGCAGAAAGTCTGAATTCCTGATGAGTTGTCACTGAGCGGCTTGAAGGTGAAAGCACTGCTTGGCTGGGGAAGTAAGCACTCCTGGAAGTGCTATTTAAAAACTCAGCTCTGGGGTCTGTGACCTCCTGGCAGTGGTAGCAGAGCTGAGCTGCCCTTTTTGCCTTCTGAGGCCATTTTAAAAATGCAGTAAAAACAGATATAACATGACCTGATAAATCTGAATTCAGGAGGAGCAGCAGCAGAATTCCGTCATGCTCAGTGTCTGCAGTGACACTGAATTAGATGAGAATTGCTTTGGAGTGTTTAATTTGTTATGGTATGTATACATACTCCTCCCCATTATCTTGTGTATATTTCAATTAAGCCAGAACGCGGAAGCAGAAGTGAAGTTGGGAGCTGCTGCTGCCTGAGGGTTACATGTGAGGCTTTTAACTGTGGAAATATCATTTGGAAATTGAAATTGTTTTAAGTGAGCTTTTGGGTCAGGGGTGGGAACTGTAGAGTTTAACAAATAAAACTTGCTGGATGGTGGTTTTAATGCCCAACAAAACAAAGAAGTCAGAGCCACTAAGGTTGGAAAAGACCTATGAGATCATCCAGTCCAACTGTCCACTTATCACCAAAAGGTCTCACTAGAGCTGTACACAACTGGCAGCGAAACAAACACGTGTGGCTTCCAGGAATGTGCAAACTTCTTAAAAAGTTGAAGGGTAATTGCCGAGCTTAGGGGCTGAGTGCCTTCAATGTCCATTCTTCTGACTACCAGCTGGCTCCTAGGACCTCATTGCTGAGCTGCACAGCACTCAGTGCTGCTGTGCCCTCATCCCAGTCCACCCCAAGGGGCTCCTACTGGGCTACCTGGGAGTTGTATTCCTCTCATTTAGCTTCGTTTTCAGGCACTGCTCTTCCTCAGCAGATGGCGTTTTTATCTTGTTTGCGGAAAGTCCATATGGCCTAAAAGAGAGAGTATCTCTTTAATTGTAAAACATGACCACCTGTTCTGGTTTTAATGAATGCAGCATGCGTTCGTCTTCACATAACTGCTTTAAAAATAGCTGCTTCAGTCGAATTAAAGAAAAAAAAAAACCCCTCAATTGCGCGCCAACACTTGGGCTGCTGAAATAATCAATTAATAATTAAGTGGCTAATTTTAGAGCCCACTGGCCTTGCTGTTCCCCCGGCCCTGCGGTGATGAGAGCAGACAGTGATTGATTGCCCTGGTGCCATGGGGAGGCACGCTGTGCCGGGTGCCAGCGGACTTCCAGCTGCTTGTTGCCATATTTTGGAGGCGAGTGCATCTCCGCATCCCTTTGCTGCAATGGACCGCTGGTTCCTGCTGCAGCTCTTGCCTTTCCGCGTTGTCCAGATGCTTTGACACACTCTCATTCAGCCCGTCCGCAGATCCCCCTTTCCCTGTCACTCTCTGAAGGATAAAATCTGGTGATCCAGAGGCATCCTAATGACAGGCCAGCTGGAGAAGAGGCTGAAACTGGGAGCAAAAATAGGCTTGAAAGGCTTGTCTACTAACTGACTCCTAATGGGAAGCCCTGCTAGAATCGTTTCTGCTCATTAAAATAACAATTGCCAGTTAACTGTTTCATAGCTCCAGGAGGTGTAGCTCCAGGAGGTGTATGCTGGCCAGGTTAGCAAATGTGCCTGGTTTGAAGCAAGCTTTCAAAGAGATAGAGGGGAGCGAGATGCTCAGATTGTATGGAAGGAACGTTAACACTTAATCTAACTTCTCCTTGAAAATCATCCCCTCTGTTGGGTGTGCGTGTTACATCACCCTGTTGTGCTAAAGCTGATTAAATGCATGTATTTTAGGAAAGCTCTGGGATTTTGGTCAATAGCATCAGCCATTGAGGCTCCTGTTTTGGAGGTAGAAGGAACAGGAGCACATGAAGGAGTGTCTGAGAGTATGGCACTTCCCCATGTCCTGGTACTAGCAGGAAGGGACACAGCAGCTGCAGAGTTTGAGTCCAGTGGGGCGGCTTGGCCAGACCCTGCATGCTTGAATCCTGGTGTGAGTGATGGAGGAGACTCACTGTGTCTGCTTCTGCGCTGCGAGAAGCAGAGGGGAGAGGCCACTAGACCTGTATTGATATGCAGTGAAATGAGGCACTTAATGCAAAGAGGACAGCTTGCCTTCTTGCCACATCTGACTGCAGGTTCTGCCATAGAGCTCTGTCCCTGTGTCCTGCAATTAGTCCCTTAATATGGGTGAAAATCTACCTCTGCTCCAGGAGCTGCTGTGGCCTGGCCTGATCAATGGGAATCCAGTTATCTCCCAAAGCGCATGGGATGCTGAGACATCCAGGCACTGTTTGTGAGACTGAGAGCCCTGCTTTGAAACCATGCGAATACAGAAGTAGCTGCAGCTATTGGCATTTAAATTCATTTCTGGATAATCTTAGTGATAATCTTCCACTGGTGATGTGTTGTTTCAGCAGAAGGAAGATCAGGGCAGTGTTGAGTGATGTCTGGGTACCTTGAATTGCAGGGGTTAGAAGGTTGAGGGCAGTGGAGCTGTGTGGGGTCTGGACCACAGCACGATGGGGAGCAGCTGAGGGAATGTGACGGGGCAGCGTGGAGAAGAGGAGCTCAGGGGAGACTTCACTGCTCTCTGTAACTGCCTGAAAGGAGGCTGTGGTGAGGTGGGGGTCAGCCTCTGCTCCCAGAGGCTGCGACAGGATGAGAGGTGATGGCATCAAGGTGCACCAGGGGAGGTTCTGTTTGGATATTAGGGAAAATTTCTTCTCCAAAAGAATGGTCGGGTTTTGGCATAGGCTGTGCAGGGAGGTGGTGGGGTCACTGTCCCTGGAGGTGTTCAAGAACTGTGGAGATGTGACATTGAGGGACATGGTTTAGTGGTATGGTTGAGATGGGTCAACGGTTAGACTAGATGCTCTTCTATAGGTCTTTTCCAACCTTAATGATTCTGTAATTCTAAGGGAGGCTTCCTGCTCTGCTTCCATGCACACGGTGTTGCCTGCCCTCCCTGGGTGTCCAGAGCAGCAGGAGATAATTAAATGAAGTTCAGCATTGACAATGGAAGGTCAGGGAGGGAGAAGCTGATTAACCTCATTAGGCTAGGAAGAGCAGTGGGTGGCCTTAGGGCTTGGATCTCATGGGGGCTTCTATTCTTGCTTTTCTTTTTCTGTTTTCCTGGGAATTGGCATTTAGTTGTGCAGGAAATAAAATGTATTGCTAATTTCGTCGCAATCCTTTTTATGTGGCTGTGGCACTGCAGCACATCTGTGAATTAAATCTAAAGAACTGAAATTTAGTCTCTGCTCTTTCACAAGCAGAAATGCTTATTCTCTCTTGATTGGTAATGAAGCCCAAGGAGAGAAGCAAAAACAAAAGTATAGAGGTTACCCATATAGGGTAAGCATAAGAAATTCAGTCCGTGTTTTCTGCCATTTCAGTAGCAGACAGACTGAGTTCGTAGCCTAAGGTTCTTCAGCAGTTTTCCAAGAGGGGCCAGATTGAGGAAGGAGAGGGGTTGTGCCTTAGAAGTGGCAATTAGGCTGCCCAGGCACAATGCCAAGAAGGAAGGCAGGAGTGATGAGCATCCTTTTAGCTGCTGCCTTGCGCGTGGGCTAAGGGGATTGTAGAATTGAGTTCTGGGGCCATTGGAAGCAGCCTGTTTTAAACACTCCTTTCCTGTTGTGCAGATTGTTCACCCCAGTTGCAGCATGAAGTGAGATATAGCATAGGCAGCACTCTCACTGTGAGCTAATTACCTATGAGAGGTCCCATTCATCCTTCCCAGCTGATAAATATTACCTCTTCTTTCTCGTTTCCAGATCACTGTGTCCACTATTATGATCTTCGCAACACTAAGCAACCCATCATGGTGTTCAAAGGGCATCGCAAGGCAGTCTCCTATGCAAAGTTTGTGAGTGGGGAGGAAATAGTCTCTGCGTAAGTATTTATTTTTATGTAGGGTAAGAACTTGGTAGCCCTTGGTTTCTGGCAGCTTTGCAAGGTGGCCAGTGTGGGTGGATGCGCACACTTGCTGTGCTTTTAGGAAGCAGATATTTGCTTTTTCCAAGGCAAAAATAGAAATTAATTCCTCATGTTACTTGGCTCTGCTCTATCTTATGGAGTTGAGAAGCTTGAGGAACGTGAAGACGAAGAGATTCAACTTCTGACCTTAAGCCCCCGCTTTGGTAAGTTGCAAGTCAATGGTCCTCCTCTAAAGAGCCTGTATGCTGAGGGTGCTCCTGACCAGAGCCCTGCTGCAGACAAGGCTGCTGGCAGCTTGAGAATAGTAATCTGCAGCAGAAGGGCGTCTGATGAGTGACAGAAGTGATTAAATAGTATTGCTACAGCTGAAGAGGGCATTTAGCCACAGCGTGAAAGCAAATCAGGTGGAACCATCCCAAAACCAAATCTGGCTGCCTCCGTTCGAAGTAAGATTTCAGTCATGTAGGGGTGAGTATGTCTATCAGATGACGTGTGGAAAGATTTGTAAGACTGGGTACGTGAACCAAACAGAGATGAGTCCCTGTTAAACGATGGGTAAACGGCAAATAACTTTTTGGAGGCTATGGGCTGCTAGAGGAATGTTACGTGTTGTATGTGATTGTGTTGACATCAGGGGCAGTAGGAAGCAATCACAGGGTTAAATCTAGTCCTGGCTTGCTTTCTTGAGCTGAGTAGATGTCTGTCTATCTCATTTCTCCCTGTGTTTTCTCACTGCTTGCTCTAGCAGCCTGGAGCTAAAGCAGAGCTTCTTGAGGCATACATCTGAGTATTCAGACTGCTGGTGAATTATGCTGATCTGAGCAGTGTGATGGAAGATTCCCCATTGACTTCCAGTGCTGTTTATATTTAATCTGTTCCTCTTCTTATTTCCATCAGTGTTATAGCTCTTTGTAAGGGTGCAAATTCATACCTAGAACATAGATCAAATTAAATTGAATGCTTTGAACCAGATCTGTCTAAGAAGAAAGTGTTTAGAAGCATAAGGAGGCTGAGAATGTTTTACAGCCATGGGGTTCGGTGGGGTAGAACGTCCCTGTCCTATTCGTGCTGTCCAGTTGAGAGTGGATATCCTGAGCCCTGGGAGGAATATCAATAGAGCTGTTGGAATTGGACAGGCAGTAACAGGACAAGGCAGCTAACTCTAGGGTTCATCTATCTTTCTGTGTGAACAAAAGGAAGCGTCAGAGAGAATAGATGTCTTAATTTTGCAAACCGGGGTGTCAGCAGTAGTGACTCCCAAAAGTCAAGCACCAATTCCTTTAAAGAAAAAAAATATTTGTATATTCAGATTCTTCAGATTTCTAGCTAAAGCTGTTTTATAGATTGCATTGATTTACTGTGCCCTGTAGAGTTAGGTTTTGACCTCGAGAATGTTCAGAGCTGCCTGGTATTTAGCACAACACATCGATTACAGTGCTGATTTACAGAGAGGCAGATTTACCAGAGCAGCACATCCATGATATTTTTTTGGAGAGGGTATGAAACCAGTAGAGCAGTGTCACAGCAGAAGGATCAATGGCCTGTTCCTGTCCTTGTGGCACAGTGGCAGGTAACCATCATCTTGTATGGCACACTTGTCTTAAAGAGTGAAAAAATGGCTAGAGTGTGATAGAATATTGTTAACCTATTACTAATTGAATGCTTTTAATGTGAAGTGTTTTTATTTTAATGAAGATCTAGAATGTATGTTACTAAAACATGGAGGTTAAGTGCCTGTGTACGTAAGGTCGTCTTGATGGGTTAGCTAATAGCAGAAGCTGTCACAGGAACCTGACAGCTTGTAGACCAGGAATTATTCTTCTGCTTCACTCTGCCTTCTGAAATTTTTAGTTTCCAGGCAACTCTGAAGCTTTAAAATGTACCGTTTCAAAAATAATACTGCTATCCTAACAGCAAAGAAGGCAATGTCCTTGTACTTCTGGGCAATTAAAAAAAAAAGGCAAAAGGCAAAAACAACAACAATGAAAAAAACCAACAAATACCAAAAAAAAAAAAAGCCAGAACAGTACCGTATATGTTTTTTCCTTTTCTTTGCATTGCTCTGATGATGAGTAGAAGGGAGAGTGAGCTGCAGTGTAGCTAGGGAAACTGAATGCTCTTTTAGGCCTCTCTGGTCAAGCCCTGGGACTAGGATAGCACTTCTGCTCAAGTCGCAGTGTTGGAGATACAGTTCATACCTTCGTCGAGATCCGACCTCATGCTGTTATTACATATGACTAACAAATCTTGCTGCAGCTCCCTTATCTCTCCTTTGTCATTCCAGCTGTCATTGAGGGCTGAGATAAGGTTTTTGTGGTAAAGCACGAGGTGCATCTCTCTCATGCTATATTTTTAGGCAAATGTGACATTGGATTAATGTGTTACGTTGGGAATATTTGATGGATATTGTGAGTGGGGTTTTTTTTTTTCCTCCCAACTCCCAGTATTTGAAAAGCAGTAAGTTTGGGTGATGCAGCCTGTACCAGCCTCCCCTTTCTTCCATCTCAGCCAGATGACAGGTCCTACTCCCGTTCTCTTTCAAATTTAAGATCAGAACAGCTCTGTTTTCTCAAGGGTGGGCTAACCGAGCTCCAGTCCCTTCCACATCAGGAGCTGTTGATGTGCTCACAGCCGTAAGTCAGGGAATGCTGGGACATCAGAGCCTGGCTAGACAATAAATCCTGGCAGGTGAGAGAGGCTCGAGTCCTATCAGCTCTGAGGAAATGTATTAGCCCTGAGATCCGGGGTCTTCCAAGTTTGCTTGAGCTCTGCCAGCCTGAGAAGTCTGCACCTACAGCACCTTGCTCTTGCTGAAAGGGAGGTTTGCTCACAGTAAATAGAGAAGCATTTTGAAGACGGGTATGTTTGCCAGTGGGGGAACAATGCAAAACATTGATTTCGATTTAATCTCTATGGAGTTGTATATTTCTAAAAGTAATATTTAGCTTTGCTGTCAAGGTAAAAACAGTGAAAGTTTGAGATTTATATATTAGGCAGTCTCAGTTACACAAGAGAAATCCACATGAATTTAATGCAAGTAGTAACGCTGAACCCCCATAAGTTTCTATGTGCTGCTGCTTGGTATTGGGCAGGAGGAGAACACTGTGCTTTCAAGGCAGCCAGAGAGGAGGAGACTGCCTTGAATTCTGTAAAGGTATGAATGAGAATTTCAGCAAGCAGGCAGGAAGGAGCAGACTTCCTCTGTGCTGTAGAAGTTGGAAAAAAATCATGTCCCAGATCTGCAAGGATTTGGAGGAGGCAGTGATGTTCTACAGGCTGTACAGTTCAGTGGAGGACTCAGCAATTGATAGGAGAGAGGAAGAGTAATACTGCAAGGAAGTATTTTATTCAAACATTTTGACAGGCTTTTAAAAAGAACAGATACTTTGTCAGGCTCAAGCTGGGTTGCACGTGATTGAAAGTGGGATAAATCTCTGCAAGCACACTAAGACTTCCCACACTAACACTGCAAGTAGGGTGTTCAGGAGGAGCATTTCAAGCAAGGATTACCTGCCGTATGGCAGCATTGTAACTTCAAGTATTGTTTTCAGGTCAACAGACAGTCAGCTGAAGCTGTGGAACGTAGGGAAACCTCACTGCTTGCGCTCCTTCAAGGGCCACATCAATGAGAAGAATTTTGTAGGGCTGGCGTCCAACGGAGACTACATCGCCTGTGGTGAGTAGAGCAGCTGTCCTGACTGGTGCTGGTGGGACTCCTTGGGGCTCCTGCCCCGTCATTTGCAAAGCACACCAGCAATATGCCCTGTAGCTGCATGGACTTCTAAATAGAGGATTGTCCTGAGCCCTCCTGGGAATGATGTAAGCAGCTTGACCTAAGGGATTACTACTTGGTTTCCCTTCATTTGAGATGAGGTCTTTGCTGCCACCAAAAACTGCTTATTAACATAGTTGGTGTTCATACGACATATGCCCTTCAAATTTATCAACTGATGCATCTTCCTGCATTTTTTCTTAGGAAGGTTAGCAGTCTAGACCATGTGAGTGGGTCAAATACTTGTCACTTGAGCTCAGTGTCCAGCCTGGTGAAGCAGTGACTCCCTCATCGTGAACAACTTTCAGAAGACTAACTCATCCTTAAGCAATTACTCTTTGGGTTCTTTCTGGGGTTTTTTGCTGCTTTTTGGACTGTTGAACCTCTGCAAATCCTCAGGTCTTGGTAGAAAAGCATGGGCAGGCTGATCCCACTGAGATGATTGGGATGGCTGCTCCAGCACTGCAGGGACCTTAGCATGTGTTCTCTGATCTCCCCAAAGCTTGTAAGGCAGAAATTGGGATGGATTTTAAATGAAGCCTACTCACTGTCTAGTTTCTCTCACTTAAACCTCCGTGGACCCTACTGTCATATTCGATTACTGCAGGCAAATGTGTGACAGTGCTACCTGCCTCACAGCTGTGACACTGAGCATGCATTCCACATGCTAGTGTATATGCCATACTCAAAGATCTTGACCTTAAGGAAGTTCTGGAGAAAATTTGGGATCTGGTGTATTTTACAAATGCACTGCATACTGCAGTTGTTTGGTAATAAAGCCTGTTCTGTTTTTAAGCATTGTGAAAGTTTGCTGCGGGGCATGCCCAGTTGCCAAGGCACCACAAGCATGATGACAACCACTGGGAGGAAATGTCATCTCTTGAAAGAATAAAAAAGCTAAGAAACTGTTTGTTGTTGTTTTTTTTTTTTTAATGCTTCCAGAACATGATCTTCTGTATTTTTTTATTTCTAGGAAGTGAAAATAATTCCCTTTACCTATACTATAAAGGCCTCTCAAAGACACTCCTGACATTCAAGTTTGATACGGTCAAGAGCGTCCTGGACAAGGACCGGAAAGAAGATGACACAAATGAATTTGTGAGTGCTGTCTGCTGGAGGGCACTACCAGATGGGGTAAGCTTTCTGCTCACTCACACAGCAGGGTGCTGAAAGGATGCCTCCTGATTTCACAGCAAGTGGCATTGCTGAGGGTTTGGTTACGTTTGGTATTTTCCTGTTCATGAGTATTGCAGACGTGTTCGAGAAAGTGAAGACTGCAGGATGACTGAAGTGCTGTGAGCTGCAGAGAGAGGATGCTGGGGGACAGGAAACTGCTGTGGCCTGATGGTTTCCACCCATGGGTCTGAATACCTTTACTTTTGTGTCTGAAATCCTAAAAGCAGCACTGTACTTCTGGCGTTCACTTGTGTGTGTGCATTAGCAAAAGCATTGCATTAATCAAGGCAGTTACAGATACTCTCTGTGTACTCTAGTTTAAACGGTACCCTGTATACGTGGCTTGCTATTTGAAATGTGTGTCCCATGTGTGGATGAGTAAATATATAAAAGAGGTGAGCCCTGGCTGCAGTAACTTCAATGAGTACATCAGTGACAGGCAGTTCATATACGTAAAGTGTATACTAATGCTGCAAGCAGACCTGAATCCACATTTCTAAGCATCCTTTAGGTGTGGGGAAGCTTTGGAGACCCAAGAATGCTGCTTTTAAATTCTGAGTGTCCTTGAAAACCTTGCATAAAGAACTTGAGTGAGTGACTCTTCTGTGCAAGTGTTTGCAGATCAGATACTTAACTGGTTTTTTGGGAGGAGAAGGAGAGGATCTCATCCTAAATGCAGTCAATCAAGTAGCTGAAGGGGAATGTTGCCTAATTGATGTTTCTAGACATTGCATTTACAAAGATAACACGTTAGAAGGGTAGCATCTGCCAATTCTAAAACGTTATCTTTGTAAATGCAATGTATGAAGAAACTGCCCCCACAGCCGTGATTCAATTGTCACTGCCATAAACTTATTTCAGATGAATGCTTTTAAGTTAAAAAAAAAAAAAAAAAAAAAAGGGGAAAAAAAGCAGCACGAGTATCTCAAATGAAAGATTGCTCTTCAGTTCAAAAAACAAAAAGTGGTGGTTTCAGTTTGAGCTGTGGACATCAGGCTGAATGGTGTGGGGTCACTAACACTTTCCTTGCTGGGGAGTTTCGGGCTTTTGGTACACACAGTTGTCATGTCTCAGATGAAGAGTTCCTATAGGAAGTTGTGTAATTTCGTGTTTCTGCTGGATTAAAACATGCTGCAGAAAAACTCTGTGTCTGTAGACACCCTTTCTTAAGTTTTCTTTGCCGCAGTATTTCTCTGTTGGGCTGTCCTGCCCACTGATCTGCGGTGCAGCTTTCCTACAGGCTGCACACTAACAGTGGTCCCAACTCCAGGATTATTTCTGTTGCTGTCCATCCTTATCAGCCTTTTCTGTCTCTGATGTACTGTGCCTTACTCTGGCAAACCTTCTGTTCAGGCCACTGACAGTCTTTTGTGGGGTCACCACAGGATGTCAAACAATTATCCGTAACAGGAACAAAAAATTCTGAGTGATGAGAATGTGAGAAATAATTTTAAAATGTAACAGTTAAATTGGGCTCATAAAGATTGTACCAAATAACATTGAAGCTTCCCTTTGTTAAGCAGCATTCAGAATCTGTCACCATCCTGGTTTTATTTTCTATCATTCCTCTGGGCTTCTACCAAATTTCAACATCTCCCATAACAGCCACAGCAGCTGGCTTCAGTTTTTAGGAAAACTATCTATGGTCTGAGAGCTCAGTGTTTTGCTTCAGTATTTCACTTCTTTTTGCAGCACTTGCCAACCTGCTTTACATGCCTAGCAAGCAACTGTGCTGGCTTTGGCCAGGAAGCCTCACTGCTGCCTTGTACTATCCCTGCAGCCTCCCCAAGAGGTGAAGTGCTCTCCAGCCCTGCATCTGCACTCTTCCCTTCCTCTTCTGGTGGTGCAGTGGTCCTCTCAGACCTAATTGAGACTTTGCTCATGTTCCCAGTAAATTAAATTACTGCACAGCCAAAGGTCACTCACATCCACAAAATCTTGTTCAAATGATGAAACTTTTATTCTCCTTTTTGATGATGTCTCTTAAATAGGCATAAAATTTTCAAATGAGCTTTGTATATAGGCTCCCTAAAAGCTGGCGTGTTTCTTAATGATGCTGGCATGAGAGAAGTCCTTTGCTTTGCAGCACAGTCAGTGTGTACGGGCACTGGGGAACCTAGTGCCTGTTTCTAGGTTAATTGCAGGCTTTGATCCTGGGTGACTCACTCTGCCTTAGTTTCCTAATTATAAGAATTACCACCCCTGCCTTTGGCTGCTGGTGGCGATCGCTCTGCTCTCTGCTGAGGAGTGTCAAAACACAGAGCACAGCCCAGACTGCAGCACTTGCCCAGGAACCGTAGCGAACACTGTGGGCAAGCTGTGTGCTCTTCTCAGTGTCTTGCTGGGCCGGTTCAAAATCATTTTGGGTCTCCACAGCAGTGGTCACTGTGCACTGATTACAGTTTGCAAACTGGAGCATTCCAGGTGGGGGTGTGGGCGCTGCCTGCCAGCTTTTCCCTAGGACTCCCAGGTGGAGCAGACTCTTTTCTGTTTCCCTACGGTGTTGCTCTCAAGGATTGTTCTTTAATTAACCTTTCGAGATGAGATGGGTAAGTTTCAGATCTGTCAGTTATCTTGGGAAGCATCAGTACGTGTATTCCTTTGCTTCATGCAGTTAAGTGCAAAATCTTGGATCCTAATTAAAACTTAAGCTAAAACTTTCAGATGAAATGTCATTGATTCTTTCCTAAACCTATTTTTGTGTAACTCAAGCTTTTCCTTCCTCCTGAGCCAAAGTCAAGCTGTGCCAGCAGTCCTTGCCAGAACCCATCTCTTTTTTTTTTTTTTTTTCCCCCCCTTCCATGGTCTTCCCTTGCTTAAGACGACACAGAAATCTGTTTGCTACAGCTGTCACTTCTCCAGCTGCACAGGTTCAGGCAATGTGTTTTCTCCACGTGTGTCAAAGCTGTAACGAGTTAGAGAAACTGTTCTCTGTAAGTGCTTATTAGCATTTTGCATAAGGCTTATTCACTTCTTCAGCTCTTAGGTAATGTTTAGAAATGAGTACTAGCTTGTAGGCTAATGTTTCTGTTAGACTGTTCAAAAAGGACAAATGTTTCAGCATGTACTCGAGGAAGCAAGCCTTCATGCTTCTCTTGATGCTGCATTTTCATTATAAGTAGATGGGTTTATTTTTGTGTGTTGTTTTTTTTAAGGCACTTTTTTGTACCAGGTGAGGAATGCCATTTCTCACTTTTTTTTTCCTCTAGAACAGAGAAGGCTTTGGGAAATTTTTGGCCCAAGTGACTTGATATGTTGCTGAATTACAGAATAATGAAGGTTGGAAAAGACCCCCAAGCCTACCCCACCGTGCCCGCATCCCTCAGTGCCACATCTGTATGGCTCTGTAACACCTCCAGGGACGGTGACCCCAACACTCCCTGGGCAGCTGTGCCAGTGCCCAACCACTCTTGTGGACAAGTTTTTCCTAGTATTCAACCTGACCTTCTACTTTTTGTAATACAGCCTCTATTTCTGGTACCTTGGCAAGATTTAGCTTAATTTATTTGAAACCCAACTCTGGTCTTGGAATGGCTAGAAATAGTCTTTTATTTTGTTAGCATCCAAGCAGACTAAAGACATGGTGTTTTCTCCTTCCCTAAAGGGAGCACCTTTCGTTAGACCTGGTTTCCTATATTGCAGAGTTCAGGATGTGCCTCACACATCTGTGTTAAATGGTTGCATCTCAACTTGCCCCTTTCTCATCTGCAGTTAGCATTTCTCAGAAGCTGTCAGAAGAGAAACTAATGCTGAACCTGCTCCCAGGACAGCAAAAAGGTATTACTGCTGAACACAGAAGCAATTTGATTATGTAGATTAAGCGTGGCTCAATCTATCATAATCACTGTAAAGAAGCCATTTAATTTTGTACCTGTTTGCATGAGTATTCATTACTGCTGATAAGCAGGTGAGCTGGGGAAAGGTTTCTCAAGCAGAAATGTTAAGGTTTTGATACCAGTAAGGAGATAAAGATATGAGCAGGAAAATGTCGTGTAAATTAGCATAGGTAAAGCCTTACTTACGTATGTGTGTGTGTGCTGGGTGTTTGGGAGGACCACAGCAGGTGGAAGAAAGGCAGCATTGTGAATCCATCTCCTCTGTGTTACGTGGCAGATGCTGGTTGTGTGTCTTCTCACCTTGTTGGCACTCTTCAGAAGGCATCTGGATTTAGGGGGGTCTGGAAACAATTGTCCAGCAGCAACAGAGAGGAGGAGGCTGAGGGACTCGGGCTTCAAGCTGCCTTTAGGCACTGTCATATGACAGAAGCATTTACATAATTAGTTTTGCATCTCTGAACTTCTTTTCCTTAATCTATGGAGATGGAAATATCCCTCCAGGTGGATTTTGGTGCAGCTCTTCAGAAAGGAAGCTTTTCCTCCATTTGTTTGTTCCTCTCCTCTCGACACTCAGCTTTGTATTTAATGATGTCTGGCTTGAATTCTGTAAATAGAAACCCATAATTATTTCACAATAAGCTGGTCATTTAATAGGGCTGTAATCTTGTTCAGTGATGAAAAGTAGCCATCCTTTGTTTCCCAGTAGCCTAATAAACAGTACACAATGTACACACAAACTAGTCAGGGCCTCTGATAATTTACAATCAGCAAATTGGCTCCCTTCACTGGATTTAATTTAGCCAATACAAATTATTTCGGGAAGTGATTCATTGCTGTTTTAAAGCACTAATTAATTTGGATGACTTATGAACATTAGAAATGAAACCTCCTTTGTCATTCCCAAAAAACCAAAAGCTTATTCATATCATTCTTGAGTAACTTGTGTTGACTGCAGCTATAGCTCTTGTAATGGTGGTGGTAATTTCAGTGGGATTTGGGGGGGAGGAATAGGGGGAGAAGGAACAAGAGTAAGGCTTCATATTTTTTGTTGTTCTACTTCACTTCTGGTAAGTTTAAAGCCTCAAAATTGCTGAGAATTTTGTCCTAACACTTTCAGCAAGA